TCTTCATCTGTCCCCCTCCAGTTCCCCACGACAAAAGCCAACCTCGCCCTCATCCACCTTGGCAAGACCAGACGTTCTGACAAACGACAACCCCCCACTCAGGCTGTTCTGGCCCACCAACACCCCCTCCCGGAAAATGTTCTGGCCCACAGACACCCTCCCCAAAGCTAGCTTTAAAAACCCCATGCTTTGCTCAGCTCGGGGCTGTCCTAGTCCACTGGGCAGCCCGCCATGTCGCTCCCCTGCCTGCAATAAAAGACTCCTCTCGTGTCAGAAGGTCTGGTCTGGTTCTGTGTGGGTCTCGGCCCAATCAGATCAGCTACCTCTAGGGAATAGAGAAACACCTGAAATGGGGTAGGGGCAGTAGAGCTCAAAATATTTACAGTCTTGATTTTTTTTGTTGTGTATTTACAATACACTCTGAAAATTACACTTCTGTGTGTATGTATGTGTATGTACGTTGGATTTTTTGTTTATATTTGTGGTACTGAAGATCAAACCCAGGGCCGCACAAGTGCTAGATAAGCACTCTATCACCGAGCTATATCCCTAGCCCCCAAAAAGTAATTACAGAGAAAAAATTCTCTGTAAATTAACAAGTACTAACCAGGCGTGTGATGGGCACCTGTAATGCCAGCACTTAGGGAGCTGAGGCAGGAGATTACCATCAGTTTGAGGTCAGCCTGGACTACATAGTGAGACCCTGTCTCAAAAAAAAAAGGTAAAAGTCGCAGCCTACAAAGGACATCTTTTGTTTCAGACACTAAACTTTCTCTGTCCCTCGCACCTACCACTGGCCTTGACTAGCTTGCCATTTGCCCACATCTGAAAATGTTAATACTAACCCTCGTAATTCTACACTTTGTTCTGAATCTTTGGCCACAGACTTACCAATCCCCCAACTGTGGTCACAGGCCCAGAAGGAAAGGTCAGACACCAGAAGTCTTCAACACAGGAGAAATGAGTATAGATGTCAGCTTCAAGGAGAAAGATCAGGTGGTCCTGCTAGCCAGCACAAGTCTCAAAGGGGGAAGGTATTTGAAAGTCTAAAAGCAGCTCTAGAATCCCAGGGAAGACAGGAAAGTCATGGGGGAGCAGTAAATGAACTGAAGGACGAGATGGTTCCATTTGTAAAGACTCCACATGAAACTGTAATCTGGTGGAAACCAGGCTTACAGCAAAGAGAACAGCTGCTTTCTGTAAAGAGCCTGGTTGAGGAAGATGGTACCTAGAGGAGATACAAGTCACTTCACAAAGCAGCAATCCTGGGAGACATATCATCAAGGTTTAGTAGCTAGCACAGCATCAGGAAACTAAAAACTTGAATAAATAGAAGTAAGTAAGGAGCGAAGCTGAGATAAAAGCCTTTCTTTTCAACAAGCCCAGGGTAAAGAGAATGTGATCAGCCGGATGTGGTGATGCACGTCTGCAATCCCAGCACAAGGGAAGCTGAGGCAGGAGGATCGTTGCAAGTTCGAGACCAGCCTGGGCTACAAAGTGAGCTCAAGACCAGCCTGAACTGCACAGTGAGACCCTGTCTCAAAACAACAAAAAGGGAATGTGATCAGCTCTCTGGTGATTATGCTCCTAACTTTTTTTTTTTTTTTTTTGAGACAGGGTCTCACTGTATAGTTCAGGCTGTCCCTGAACTCATTGTGTAGCCCAGGCTGGCCTTGTACTCTTGCAATCCTCCTGCCTCAGCCTCCTGAGTGCTGAGATTATAGGTGTGTGCCCCACACCCAGTTATGCTCTTAAATTTAAGCTGTCTGTGGGTGAAACCCAATGTCTTTGGTCATGTTTTCCTGGTTACCCAAAGAAATGACACTGCCCAGGCCTTACACAACAGCTGAATCACCATCAATTAGTCTGTATCACAGCCTGCTGAGCCTCACGCCTCATGCAGTCACATACCAGACAACCCTGAAAAGAAAAAGGGGGTAAAAAAACACAAGCCAACAACAACCCGGTGTGAGTTGTCAAAGTCCTCTAAGGACTGACCTCGCCCTTTGGGGCAAGTTTCATTCAAAACTGAAAGGACTGAAGGGCTGGGGAAATCCAAAGATCAACAGAACCAGGAACAGGTGGTTCCCATCAGAAAAGGATCCCAGGCCAGAACTCAAAACAGAAACCAGACCACTGATAAGGCCTGGTTTATGATGTCTGTCTCCAAGCCTTCAGATGCCATTTTTATGTTTTCCAGTATTTACAACGGGGTACGACAACACTTACCCAGCTCCTAACTATATACATCTAATTCTCTGAGTGCTTATGCAACTCCTCATTTTATTAAGTTTTAGAGATTTGGGGTAGCTCCAATAACTGGGCTACCAGGAGAATTGTGAATTCTTCAATCCTTTAAACAGGCCACATTTTAACTGTAATGAATTTTATCATCTCTTCTTCCTTTTTCATCTCCTCATGAATGCTTGGCAAAATTCCTCTCTCACTAACAAATTTCCAAGTTACTTACAACGGCCTTCTCATTTCACTGAAACAATATTAATATAATAAAAGTCTAGTTCATCAGAGGAGTCCAGTTCTTTGCCTGAGGCTCATTTATAACTAGCTGTATGACTCTGGGTAAGTCACTTCACTTTTCAGTTTCAGTTTCCTCACCTGCCAAGGAAGGAAGCTGGAAACAGAAGGAAAGCAATAAAATATCCTTCAACTGAGAAAAGACTTAACTTTTAAGTGGAAAAGGCTCAGCAAGTGTCTAGAAGGGTTACTTTATTTTGTTTTGTTGTCTTTTTGAGACAGGGTCTCACTATGCAGTTCAGGCTGGCCTTGAGCTCACACTGTAGCCCAGGCTGGCCTCGAACTCCCAGAAATCCTTCTACCTCAGACTCCAGAGTGCTGGGATTACAGGAGTACACCACCATGCCTAGCCCAGAAAGGTTACTTTAAAAGACACATACCTTAGCATACTATGGTGAAACTCTAGCCATGAGTGAAAAATTCACAAATGTACAGAGAAGAGATATTACTTACAAAAGGAAAAGAATATAATTGGGATTGTACTTCTTAGCTTTATCACCAGAAACTGAAGACAGTAGAAAGAACTTACTTCTACAGAGTAGGACCCCAACTTAAAAAAACAAACCAACAAAATCCTAAATGAAATCAAGGTATCATTCACATATGAAACTTTAGAAAAATTAGAATAAGGAGGTGAGGTAGGAGGTTAATGAGTTCAAGACCAGTGTGGATTACAAAACGAAACCCTGTCTCAAAAAATAAAAAACACCCAGCACTGGGAAGGCTGAGGAAAGAGGATTGCAGTGCGTTCAAGGCCAGTGTGAGCTACATAGTGAGTTCAAGGACAGCCTGGACTACATAGCAAGACCCTGTCTCAATAAAAACTAAAACTAAAAAAAAAATTTTGAAGATCAAGATGTTATATATACACACCAATTTCCCAAAATGAATGTAAATATCATGTATTATAAACATATACCAATTAAAAATAAAATAAAAATTGGACATAGATGATACATGTGCAGCCTCACATTTTTTTTTTTTTGCAGCCTCACAATTTTTTTTTGCATCTTCACATTTACTTGAGTACTATTCGCAATAAGCAAGGAATGGGAACAACCTAAGAATCCATCAACTAGTGAAAGGATAAAGTGTAGATCATATATCCAATGGAATACTAATCAGTCATTAAAAAAGCATTAAATCTTTTTAAAGATCCTGTCATTTGCAATGATATGGACACACCTTAGCAGAACCAGAGGTCATTATGCTAAATGAAATAAGCTTAGGAACAGAAAGATGAGTACTGCATGAAGTCACTCATATGTGAAACTGAAAAAATAAAAAAGGTGATCTCATGGAAGTATAAAATAGAATGATGGTTATCAGAGCCCAGGGAGAGCAAAAGGAGTGGTGGATGGAGGGAGGCTGGTAAACCAGTACCAAGTTATAGGAGCTAGAGAGCAGCGAGCAGTTCTGCCAAAGCCAAGGAGAGTGGCACACACCCATGATCCCAGCTACTCAGGGGGCTGAGGCAGGAGGATCACAAGTTCAAGGCCAGCCTGGACAACTTAGCAAGGTTCTATCTCAAAATAAAATGGTATTTTTTAGAAGGGCTGGGGATATAACTCAGTGATAGAGTGCTAGCCTAGTATGAGCAAATCCCTGGGTTCAATCTTTACTATCTCACACACACACACACACACACACACACACACAAAGTTCTACTGTGCTACTTACACAGTAGAGTAACTACAGATACCAATAATATACTGTATTTTTTCAAAAAACTACAGGAAAAATTTTTGACTGTTGTCACTATAAAGATATGATAAATGTTCAAGAGGACATATATATTTCAATTGATTCAAATGTTATACAATGCACACTAGTCGGGCATGGTGGCGCATATCTGTAACCCCAGCACTTGGGAGGCTGAGGCAGGAGGATCATTGTGAGCTCAAGACCAGCCTGGGCTACAAAGTGAGCTCAAGGCCAGCCTGAACTGCATAGTGAGACCCTGTCTCAAAAAAACAAAAAAAAAAAAAATACAATGCACACATGTATTAAAACACTGCACAGCACACCATAAATAAATACGTACAATTTTTGTATTTTTTTCTATATTTATTGGCCATTTGCACTTCTGAAAAGTGTCTGTTCATCTCACTTGTCCATTATTTTATTGTTTCTTGTATTCATTTTTTTTTCCAGTACCGGGAATCAAACCCATGACCTCGAGCTTGCCAGGCAGGCGCTGTGCCACTAAGCTAAATCCTCAGCCCCTTATTGTTTCTTTTAATTTGTGGCAGGGTCTCATATTTTTTGAGTTTTCTATATATTGTACATACAAGCCCTCTGCCTGAGGAATACTTAGACAAGGTCTCACTAATTTGCCCAGATTTAGCTCCCAGTTGCAATCCCCGACTTTTGTATTCTTACGCACCAATTAAAAAATAAGTTGAGGCGGGCTATGGTGGCACATACCTGAAGTCCCAACATTCTGGGAGGCTGAGGTATGAGACTGACAAGTTCAAACCCAGCCTGGGCAATTTAATGACTAGTGAGACTCTGCCTCAAATTCAAAAAAGAAAAGGAGGATACAGGAGACAGCTCCATGAAAACGCCCTGGGTTCAATCCCCAGGACTGCAAAAATTAAACTTTTTAAAAACTTGTATATATAAAAAAAAAAAATTAAAAAAAAAACTTGTATATATAAACTCTGCTCTTGCTCTCTTCTATGAAAATCAAAGAAATATCTCAGCCAAATTAATACTTAGAATTGGAACAAAGCCAGGAGAGACAAAGTACATTAAAAATACGTTTTCCATCTCTGCCCTCCCCCCACAAAAAACTTTCAATTAAGTTGTACCAGATGACATCTCATGGCCTTTTCAATTACAAACAGAAACTGTCCTGGACAAACCGTCCCTGGCAGCCTGGGTCTGTAGTTGTTCATCACCTAGTGGCCAGATGAAGTAATGCAGCTCACCAAGTGCCCGGATACTTCCAGCCATTTTGTGAGTTCCAACAAGAGTACTGCACAAAACTGCAGGCTGCCACACTAGAGAATACAAAAGTAGGAGACTACAAACCCTCCAGACTCATATGCAGTTGCAAAGACTTAGCACACCATGATCCATTTTCCCAGGTTGTCGGGAAAGGCCCACTTTGTACCTAAAAAAAAAAAAAACATAGTAAGTAAAGTACTGCTTTGTTACAGTGCATTTGCAAAGTAGTGACACATAAAAATTGCTTTTGGGAAGACTGATCTGATTTGAAAGCAAGTTCAGATGCTTTGAGGAAATTACAAATATGCTTTATCAACAGGAAGATTATTTTCAAAAGTTCACAAGACTGGCATGCAAAAGATAGATTACATTTATCCTGCATGGTTCCAAGGGACAGACCCAAAATTAATGAGAAGTATCAATTAGATTTCAGTTCAAAAGAAGAATAATTTTCTGCCAATAAGAGCTTTTCAACAACATAATAACATCATTAAGAAGTGATGCACTCTCCCCTCAGTGGAGGTATTCTAAGCGAATTTGGATGATCATCTGTCAGGGGGACAATAGAAAGCATTTCCAGAGAGATTACATTAAATTACCTCAAAGGCTCTTTCCAACTTCAAGAGTCTACCACTCAAAACAATTATAAAACAAACAAATAAGCATTAATAAGTTACTAAACAGTCCTGTTTCATTTTATTTATTTATTTATTTTAGATTTACCTAGGCAATATGTTAGTAATTAAAAGCATAGATCCAACAGTTTTCTACTTGGGTAAATGTGCACAAATTAACTCTATTCACTTCAGTTACATTATCTGTAAATTTGAATGAAGAAGCCCTATTCTCATAAGATCTCATAAAGATTAATGATATGATACTTTACTTAAAACAGTGCCCTACCCATGAAAGTGTTCAAAATTAGTAGCCTGAAAATGAAAAGGTAGTTCAAGGGTTGGAGGGAGGCAGGGACTGAAACCTGATTGTTTTCGTTATCTGTACCCAAGCTTCTCCCAAAGCATTCCTGGCTGCTGCTGACCACAGGCTCAGTTCCCTTGGCAACCAGCCTCAAAAAAGAGTTCAGCCCTACCTTCTTCAGAAAGGCAGCTCATCTCCTTTCCTGGAAATTAGCATTTTCCCTGTATGAAGAACATACTCTAAAGACTTCACAAATACAACCGCTCCAAACTCAAGGAACTAAGAAGTGTTGTTCTTCTTACTTACTACGATCACAGAACATCAGAGTTCAAAGAGACCTCTGAGACCTTCTAGAGCAACTCCTTTGTTTAATACGTGAGGACAGAGCTGGCCGTGGTAGGTAGCACACCTGTAATCCCAACACTCAGGAGCCTGAGGCTGAAGGATCATAGCGAGTTCAAGGCCAGCCTGGGCTACAAAGTGAATTCAAGACTAGCCTGAACTGCATAGTAAGACCCTGTCTGAAAAAGATAGAAAGTAAAATAAAATAAGTGAGGACAACAAGGCTAAGAAAAATGAAGACCTGGACATAAGTTGATAATAAGGTCAAAACAAGATCACAGAGCTCCTTATTCCAATCCAGTGGTCGAAGTTTTCCCTTTTTGCAGTGGTAAAAACAAAGTGGCCCTACCACTTCTTAAATCACACAGCCTAGCCAAGCATGGTGGCACATGCTTTATAACCCCAGCACTCTGGAAAGCTGCAGCAGAAAGATCACAAGTTTGAGCCTAGCCTGGACAATTTTGCAAGACACTGTCTCAAAATAAAAAGAAGGGCTGGGGATGTAACTCAATGTGAAGACCCAGGGTTCAACCTCTACTACTGCAAAACAAAAACAAAAACAAAAACAAATGTCTTGGTTACTTTTCTCTCGTTGCTGGGACAAAATACCTGACGCCCAAAATTAAGGAAGGAAAGGTTTATTTTGCTTACAGTTTGTGGAGGTTTCAGTCCATACTTGGCAGATTACAAGGCAGAGTGGCACATGGCAGAGGATTACAGCTCATGGCAGCAGAACACAGCAAAGCAACAAAAACAAAAGCCAGGAATGGCCTCAAGCACCCTTTTCCTCTCCCTTACATATGCAAACTATCCACCCCAGGGCGGGTGTAGCTCTCACACCCATAATCAGTCGAACTCTAAAAGCCTGCCCCATGGTCGCATGAGGCTTTGGGGGGACACCCAGACACAAACCATAACAACAAATACTTCAACCTGCATAGGTACTGTGCTTGGTTGGTTTATTTGTTTGTGGTACAGTGACTGAACCCAGCGTCTTCACACTCTGCTGTATCCCCAGCCCTTTTTATATGTATTTATTCTGAGATAGGTCGAAGTCGCTAAGTTGCCCAGGCTGAGCTTGAATTTGCAATCTTCCTGCCTCACCCGCTCCACAGTGTTGATTTCAGGCACACATCATCATGTCCCACTACGTTAAGAAACTCTTGAGTTAAAGACGTTGGAGTTTAGATTTTCAAATCAGGGATGATCACCTGGTAAAATCTAGGCAAATATTCCAAAATCTAAAATACTCCAGCCAGGCTTGGTGGCACACACCTGTAGTCCCAGCACTCCAGAGGCTGAGGGCAGAGGATTGCTGTGAGTTCAAGGCCAGCCTGGACTACATAAGTGAGTTCAAGGCCAGCCTGCATAATGAGACCCTGCCTCAAAAAAAGTTTTTTTAAAAAAGATAAAAATTCCCAAATCTCAAACATTTCTGGTCTCAAACATTTTAATTAAGGGATACTCAATCTGTACTTTACACAGGTTAGAGAAAATCAGAAGCACCAGAGCACATGGACTCTGGAACCAGGCCAACTCATTCAAATCCCAGCTCTACCATTTACTGTGTGGCTCTAAGCAAGTTTGCTAACCTCTCTTTGGCTCTATAAAACAAGAGCAAGAGCAACTATTAGGTTATTATAAGGATTAAATGAACCCAGGAATGGCCACACACACCTGTAATCCGAGCTACTTGGAAGCCTGAAGCAGGAGGATCTTGAGTTGGAGGCCAGCCAGGGATTCACAGTGAGACCCTGTCTCAAAGGGAAAAAAAAAAAGGATTAAAAGACACAATCCATGTAAAGTACAAAACATGAAGGTTCGAACTGTGTACATTGCTCTGCTTCTCATCATTACTAGTTGTATTAGAAGGGCAATGACCATAATAACAACAGAGACCAGATAAATTCCTATTTCTTGTTCAAAGAGTACTAAGACACCTGTTGACTTATTTCCTGGCCCAGGAAACACACAATCCCTCAGCAGAATAAGACTATAACTAACCTATCATTTACTAATTTCTTTGAATCTAGGAAAGAATCAATTCAGAGAATTGAGGTACACACTTTGGTGATAAGATGCTTAGGATTATGAAGAAGGTCAGAACCTAAGACTGTTTATTTGTGTAGTACTAGGGACTGAACCCAGGGCCTTTTCACTGAGCTATATTGCCAGCTCTTTTTTTATTTTTTATATTGAGATAGGGTCTTACTAAATTGCTAAGTTGTCCAGGCTGGGTTCAAACTCGCAATCTTCCTTCCTCAGCCTACTGGAGAGAGCTAGCATTCCAGGCATGTGCCACCATGCCCGGCAAAGCTGTCCTTTATACCAACACCCACCTCAAAACCAACAGGATGGAATTTTTTTTTTTTTTAAAGATGGAATTCTTGTCCAGTCTCTTTCTCAACCTAAGTGACGCAGTGTAACATCCAAGGGTAAAACCTCTGAAGTTTCATCAAAAACTCTGGTTTCATCATTTATATGATATGTGACTTAGGCAAATTACCTCTCTCCAAGCCTTTGTTTTTCCATCTGTTAAATGAGAACAACTATTTTAATTATAACAGCTGACATTTCGGAAGAACTTTCTATATGCCAAGCACTATGCTAAACTAAATAACTAAGTCATTTAAGTATCACACAACTTTATGAGGCAGGTACTCGCTAGTACCTTCATTTTACACATACAGATGGGAAAATGAGGCAGAGCTTTCTTGTCCAAGGATACACAGTAAATAATGGCAAAACTGAGATGCCAGTGTAAGACGTCTGCTTCAAAAACTATGCACCTAGCCAGGCGTGGTGGTGAACACCTGTAATCCCAGCACTGGGGAGGCTGAGGCAGGAGGATCGTTGCAAGTTCAAGACCAGCCTGGGCTACACTGGAATACAAGACCAGCCTAGGTCACTGATGTGACCAAGGCCAGCCTGAACTGCACAGTGAGACCTTGTCTCAAAAAGCCCCCCACCAAAAAAAAAGCCAAAAAACTCTGCACCTTAGGCTTACACTGCTGCTCTGTTCTTCACAGTATCAACATCATGTGTTAATCACATTGTTACAATAAGACAATTCACGTGCTTAACACAGTGTATGGTTTATCAAAGTTAGCCATTGCTGTCATTGTTCTCCTTATCATCATTGCAAATTTCTCTAAACTTTTCCCAATGATTATTCCTTTATCAGGTCCAATTTCACCTAAAGGAAAATTGAAGTTTTCCCTTAGCTATCACCTAACTAGGTAACTAGGGGTGGGGTTCTAGTATTTCAACCTCTCACGTAATGCAGGTAAGAATCTGGGTAGAGAGACAGGGAAATATATGTAAGAAATCTCTACTCTACAAAAAGCAATATACAAAAAAAAAAAAAAAAGCAATATACAGCCTTTTCACTAAGACAGCACTGAAAGCAAAGGAAGTTCCTTCCCTTCCCAAAGCCAAAAAGCAAAGCAAAGGCTCTAAATGGAAAGCAGGCACTGCTGAAGTTTCCACAGCCCCAAAAAGATGTGCCTATCACCCAATTTCCAGCAGCCCAACACACAGCAGCTCTGGAGGCAACCCAATTACCCTCAGAAGAGCACTCCCAGGAGAAACAAGCTTCACAAGCCAGCAATAGCTTCCTCCTGAACACGGAGTCAACTATGAAGACAGAAGAAAGCACCCTTGTGTTCCTGGTGGCTGTCAAAGCCAACAAGTACCAGATCAGACAGACTATGAAGAAGCTCTAGGACACTGATGTGACCAAGGCCGATACTCTGATCAGGGCTGATGCAGAGAAGAAGGCATATGCTCTATTGGCTTCTGGCTATGATCCTTCACATGGACCAAACATTTTGGAAACTGAGCCCAGCTTGCTAATTGTGTTGCCCAGGATGGTCTC